GGATTCTGGGTAACTGTGATCTTTATCTGTTCCTAGAAGAGATTTAAACAACTTATAAACCACAACTGGGCAGAGATAATAAAGGAAGCAGTACTGGGGTGGGGAAGGATTTCCCCAGAGTGTACAGAGTGAAGGGAGGAGAAACCATGGGCCCAGCTGTGGCAGAGGGTCTCAGCATGGTGGGACACAGAGGGGGTGCTTTAGGGAAACCTCAGCAGTATTAGTAGCTAGGTATAAAATGTTGGTACATGTATATACATGCATATATATATATATTTATATGTATAAAGAGCAGGTGGAGATACAATTAGTCACAGATGTCTGAACCCTGCTATGGTATCTATACAGTCTCAACCCATGCACTTGCTCCTCTTGATGTTTGTGTCTCCATGCAGGCAGGATATGCTTCCTCTTATACTCCAGGGTTTTTTGCATTTCTCATTCCTGTGGGACTCACACCTGTCATCATGCAGTTCTCCAGGGAAAGGAGACCTCCTTCCATTGGAGGGGTTGGAGGGGCATCAGGCTCAGTGCCTTACCTCCAGGCCCACAGGGAGGTTCACAAAACCCCTCCCAGGTCTCCCCATGGCCTGCAGCAGCCTTGGATGCTCCCAGTGCACTCAGCAGTGGTCTGTAAGGGCTTGAAAAACAAAACCCAATGATGTTTCTCTTGCATAAGGTCAAAACTACAAATCCTTGTCCTGTAGTTCTGTCAGCCAGGAATGTAGACAGCAGGTGGGAAATTCAGGGGTAGGGAGGAAAACAGAATGAAACACATTTCTGTATTGGCAAAAATCCTAGCAGAGATGTGGTTCTTCCAGCACATGTTTTTGCCAGGATCCTTTATTTAGTTTTCATAGCCAGAATAGGGCCTGGTGGCAAAATTATGTTTTTCCACCCTAGGAGGGTGTGCTATTACAGCTGTATCAGCCTGCATATTCTCCACAGTCCACAATCAAAGCAAAGCTGAGGAATTAATAGAAAGAAAAAACAATAGATTCACTTGCCAATAAGATACTTAGCCACTTAATCCTTTCCGAGCTTTCCTCCTGGGAGCTGGCAGAAGCCTGGAGTGCATGAGGAAACCTGTGCCAATCTAAAGTGGGGTGTGAGTGCACTCCAGTGTCTGCTGTGAGGGTCCATGCTGGTTCCCAGGGTCACTGCAGCTGTGCTGCCTGTTCTACTTCCCAATGTCCTGAGCTGAAAAGCTCCTGCAGGCTGAAGAAAAGGTCCCAAAAAGAAACCAAAAAAAGGGAAGACATTAAAAGGAAAAAGAAAGAAAAAACAAAAGCCAGAAAAAGGGAGAGAAAGAGCAGGCAAGGGAATGAGGTGGTTTGGGTGAAAGGGAGCGCGGGGATTTCTTGAACAAGCTCAGGGGGAAGGAGCTTAGATTCAGAGTCAGCTGTGGGGCAGGCTTGGGTACCTGGGGGCAGTCAGAAACTGTTGCCAGGCTGCAGGGAGCTGGGGTTGGCACAACTGGCTGGCTCCAAGCAGGGCTGAGGCCCAAGGAGTTTTCCTGCACAGACAGAAGGGCCATCTGGCAAGGCCATTGCTGGCAGGAGCCAGTCCTGCGGCTCCCTTGCAACTGCTGCCATCTTGTCCAACATGATCCTCCCTGTGTGTGCCCTGCACAGCATATCCAGCACCTGCCAAACTTCATGCCTGTCCCCCTTCACCCCCAGCAGGGGGGATGCACAGCCCTTCACCCAGGACACTTTCAGAGCCTGATGTGCACACCTGAAGGCATGCAGCATGGGCTCAGGGGCTCCTGTTTTAGGAAAGCACTGCTGGCAGCATGCCCTGCTCTTCCCAGCATCCCACCTCAGCATTTTTGCTGCTAATAGGAGAAAGTTTGGGCTGGCCTGGTCGTGGCATTGAGGGGTTGGTGACACATCCTGTGACCGTGGGAGGGCTGTGTGCTGGCTACTCCTGTACTCATGCTCCCATGGGGGCTGTCGAGGTGTGTGAGTCTGTGGCTGTTTGTGAGGACACTCCTTTGAGCCTGCCCCTGCTGAGACAGCCACAGCAAGCTGAACACCATTACCAGCACCTTGACTAGTGCAGCATCACTGGTCACTGGGATGAAATAGGTACTTGGGCTTTGCTTGTGGTGGGAATCATCCACGCGTGGTGCCAAGAGGCCTCTGCAAGCTGAGAATTGTCATTCCTAATAAAACTGTGTTCCTCACTAGCCCAGGCAGGAGTTTCCAGAGCACCCTCGGCACAGAAGGGACGGCTGTGAGTGCGGAGGCGGTGCCAGGGCTGGAGGCTACGCTGCCGGCGGC